TCCAAGTCGCTGATGAAGACATTAAAGAGTATCGGTCCAAGGACTGAGCCCTGCGGGACCCCACTGCCCACACCCTTCCAGGTCGAAACCGACCCATCCACCACGACTCTCTGGGTGCGGCCCTCCAGCCAATTCGCCACCCACCGGACTGTGTAGTCATCCAAGTCACAGCCTCTTAACTTGTTCACCAGTATGGGGTGGGATACCGTATCGAAGGCCTTCCTGAAGTCTAAGTATACGACATCCACCCCTCCTCCTGTGTCCAGGCGTTTTGTAACCTGGTCATAAAAAGAGACTAGATTGATCAGGCACGATCTGCCTGCCACGAACCCGTGCTGGTTTCCCCTCAGCATAATTTGTCCTGCTGGGCTCTCGCAAATGTGAGCCTTGATAATTTTTTCAAAGACTTTGCCCAGGATGGAGGTGAGACTGACTGGCCTATAGTTGCCCGGGTCCTCCTTCCTCCCCTTCTTGAAGATGGGGACCACGTTGGCCCTTTTCCAGTCCTCCGGGACTTGGCCCATGCGCCACGAGCGTTCGAATATTCCCGCCAGTGGCTCTGCAATGACGTCGGCCAGTGCCTTCAGCACCCTCGGATGGAGCTCATCCGGGCCTGCCGACTTGGTGCAGCTGGCTTTTTGCTACAGGGAGATTTCTGTTTTGTTTTTAAAGACATTTTTGTGTTCCCAGCCAAATCAAGTCCAAATCCATGAGTCAGTCCAGAACCATAAGTGGCCCTACAACCAGCAAACATCCTTCACCCTCACCAGGGGCTTCAGATATTTCTGTCTTTTGCCAGGCATCCTATGTGCAGGCCCAAGCCCTTTTGGCAGGCATCCTACGTGCAGGCTTGGGGTTCAGATGCCCCTAAGTTTTGCTTGCTCTCAGCCATGTGGCCACAGGAGCAAGCTAGGGAAGAGCCTCCTATTTCAATAAAAATAAGCATTAAGCTCCAACATCTCAGCGAGTACTAAACCACACCCGAACAGTTTTCCCCGGGAGGGCTTAAGGAAAACTGCCCTCTGTCTGGCTGAATCCATGTGGCAGCTGCAGCTGCAGCTCAGCCTGCACAGCAGAGCCTGGGACCCCAGGACCAAGGAGAAGGACAGAGGATGGGAACTGCCAGTGAGCTAGGTCATGCATGTCCCCCACAGCTACCTTGAGACAAGTGGTTGGGGGTCACTAACAGTGTGGCTGAGGTGTTCGAGCTGGGAGCTGTAGGTGACAACCAGAGGGGTTCTCTTGTCCTTGTCCCGGGGTTGGTTTTGTAGCAGGCTGGAGCAGGGTTCTGAGACGGTTTGATGAGTGTAGGAATCCCTGCTCCAGATCCTGAAGCTCAGTGCATCCCAGTGGGTGGGATCAGAGCAGATCTGGTTGTAACTTAGAGCTTGCCTGCACGCGATGGCTCGCACGGTGCATGGGAATGACAGCTGTGGTGCTCGGCTGGTCCCGATACAGTGTGGCGGTGATGAGGCCATTGCAAACTTCCACCGAGGTGGCCAAGAAATGAATTTGCTGGGTGGAGTATTCCAGAGCCTGGTTGATGTTGTTGCTAAAGTCTGGGTGGAATTTCTCAGTGTCCATACAATGAAGACATTGTCCTGTTACCTGTGTTGTATGTAAAACACGGGAGGTGACAGTGCTGCTCTGCTCAGGCCTTAGCTGCAGCGTCATTGGCTGTTCTGGGCTCTGCAGTTGAGGAGGATGTCACAAATCTGGACAGGATCCAGAGACAAGTCACAAGGGCAGTAAAAGTGGGAAGGCAGAGGTGAGAGCCCAGTGTGTTCAGTCTGGCGCAAAGGAGGTTTTGGGGGAGATGAGGGCAGTTTGCATGCACCTGGAGAAGAGAGAACAGCTACTCCCTGTTGCAGAGGGCAGGGATTTCAATTGTAGAAGAGCAAGTGTAGGTCCTATTTCGGGACAAACTTCTTCACTCTCAGAGCAGCAGGACAGCGGAACGCGAGGCCGGGGCAGGGCTGGTCAGACCTCCAGGGGACAAGAGAGGTGGAGGCTGGATGCGTCTGTCTGGGACAGGGCAGTATCAGCGTGTGCGCCAGGGGTTGCACCTGACGAGCCTCATGGTCTCTTCCAGCCCTGGATTCCAGCACAGCGAGCACCAGTGGTTGTGGGAATGGAGCTGCAGCGGTAACTCTGGCCAGTGCCTGCCTGCGCTTGGGATCAGCCTTGCACATTCTCTTGCTCTGTGCTTTAAGCTGACAGTTAGGGAGGCTGCAGAAAGTGGGTGCCTCGTGCACAAGGAGAGGGAGCTCCAGGTCAAGGCAGTGTGTGGGAGAACGCAGAGGTCACAGTGGGTGAGCAGGACAGAGGGGCAAAGCATGGCAGAGTTTGTGACTGTGTGGGGTGATGATGCAGGCATTTGTGCAAGCACCAGGTGACCAAAATGCCAGCATAAGCCAGGGCCCATGGCTGTGTTTGCTGTGCTCCAGGGACACATGCCCTGGGCAGTGGGAGAAGAACAAGCACGTGACAGCCAAGCCCAGCAGGCAGAGGGGAGGGCAGCAAAGGTGCCTGGTCCCTGGGCTGGCCTGCACTGGGGCTGCAGGCCACGCCAGTGTTCGCTGGTATGCCTCCACCCAGGTGGCAGCAGGTGCGAGCTGGGGTCAGGGGCCAGCGGTGCCACATGCACTGAGACTGGCTGCAGCACCCCACGTCCCGCACCCCACCCTGGTCAAGAGGACGAGGGAGCACTGAGGGCAGAATACGGAGCAGGAAGAACCCCTGAGCAAGGTCCTCCAGCCTGGCAGCATGTAGGGCTCTTTGCAGCCTGGGCACTTGAGAGGGAAATCCACAGGAGACATGTCTTTGGGGGGCTGGGGCTGGAGGCACCGGACCTAATCATGGTCATGCCCAACATGTTTCAGGCCTTTTCCCAGTGTGAAGTCTCTGCCCAGGCATGGACAAGCCTCTTGGGCCCCTGCACACTGCTGTTGGGGTCCCTGCACCCTGACAGCAGCACTGCTGTGATAGAGAGGGCCTGAGTGCATGCAGCGTTGGCCAGGGGCAAGGCTCCCACCTGCACAACAAGGAGCGGGCAGCGGTGCAGCAGAGGTCGGGTCTGTTCTAGTCACTCCGTGCTCAGCAGGGCCTCGCACCTCCCAAGAGTGCGACGCAAATAGCTGGAAACAATGAATAGATTTCCTGTTCCTGTCCATGTTTTCTTTAGATTTCCAGCTGGATACGGCCCGGGTCCAGGACACCAACTACTGCTCATTAAAGTCTTTGTCCCCAGGCAGTGCGAGGTTTTCCTTGGAACAAGGGCTGAAACAGCACAGGGTGGGTTAGGCCAAGCTCACAGCGCTTTCTCTGGAGCTGGGCTTGCCCTGTGTGCAGTGCCCTTTCTGCAGTCACTGCCATGTCTGAGCACGCCATGCCATGGGCAGCGTCCAGTGTGCACAGAGGGGCTGGGCTTGCACTCCTGGCTGTGCACTGCGGCCCCTCTGGTTTGGGGTCCAGTGCTGTGCAACGCAGGCTGGGTGCAGTGCAGGGAGGGGCGGGTGCAGTGGCCCTGCACCTTGCCAGCTCAGTGGTTTGCCCTGCGGTTGGGGAGCCCCTTCCTGTGCCTGAAGGACAGGCAGGGGACAGGCTGGAAGTGGATCAAGGAGACCTGGGAGCGCTGTTGCTTCAAACTTCCTCCCCAGCTTGTTTACCAGACAGGCACTTCTATTGTTCTCTCCTCCACACCCCCCTACCCAGGCAGCCCCAGCACTGGAGCTAGAGCTGGAGGAAGTGCTGGGCCTCTGCTGTGCAGGGGTGAAAGTGGCCCCAGCCTCTGGGGCAGAGGGCAGGGCCGAGCAGGGCCAGGTAGGGTTGCACCTGCAGGTGCCATGAACGGACTTGTGCGGGGGTCACTAAATAGAAGGGAACTTAAATACAAGGGGCAGGGGGTGCACTGCTGAGAGCAGTGAAGGAGGATTGAACAGGCCCCCAGGGACAAGCAGCTTTTAGCCTGTGGAGATCTGGGGCTATAGCAGCCAGGGCAGGGACTGGGATGAGCACGGGGAGTCTCTAGTCTGTGGGTGATTCCACTCGCTGCTTCTGCAATTTCACGTTCAAGTTCATTGGTAAAGGTCCATTGTCTAAGGTCAGCGATGGGCGTGTGGGGGTCAGGTGTCTGCCTCGGGCTTGTCCCTTTCTGCACCGGACACAGTCAGCTCAGTGCCCGTTCAGCCCTTCACGTAGGGATTGCCCTGTCCAGCCACGCAGACAGCAGAGAGGCACTGTGAGCTGGCAAGAGCTGCAGCCTCTCTGGATGAGTGTGTCTCCAGGGTGCCGCCTGCCCTGCTTTCAGTCTGCTGCAGACTTGCCCAGCAATGCCTCCCTTGCCCCTTCCCCACCCCGCAGTGCCAGCGTCCACCAGGACAGGGTGGCGCAAAGGGGCTGCACATCAGGTTTGCAGTGGGGTGGTGGAGCTCTGGCTGTGGGTGTCTTTTTCTGCCCTGCAGGAGCTGGGCACCTCCAAGCTTCCCCCAACACCCACCCTTTTCCAGGTTCCTGGTGGGCTCAGTGTTGGGGGTGCTGGCAGCAGCCCCTCAGGCTCTGGTTCCCTGCCACCCCCCAACTCCAGTGAGCAAATGAGCAAGGCTCCCAGGCGCCCGACTCACGGGACCCTGCCACCTATGGCTGGGGGGGGGGAGCCCCTTCGTGCAGAAGCTGCGTTGGTCGGCGTGTGCCATCCATGGGCTCCTTGGGACAGACTGCACAGCTCCCCCCCGCCCTGCCCTGCTGCGGCTCGCTCCCTGCTCCTGGAGTCAGGGACGGATCAGAACAATGGGTGGAGAGCAGGAAACACTGCATGGGAAACAGGATTTTGCCTTGCTGCGGCCCCCTGGCCCCCCCCACCCCACCCCAGTCCATCCCACAGTCACCATGCAGGCACGGCTTCTCCAGCTCCAGCTGCCTCCTGGCCCGATGGGCTCATAGGAGACAGCAGCACCCCCATGCCGCAGCAGGCTGCCAGCTCCCCGCGTGAGGAGAGATGGCCATGGGTGCAGCAGCGCTGGGGCGGCCCTGAGGCATAGGGGATCCCAGACGGGCTGTGCCAGCCCTCACGGGCCAGGGACAGGACCCAGCTCCTTGAGCAGTGCCACAGCCGAGACCAGGCCAGCTCGCTTCCTTCCAAGGGCCTCCCGCTCGTCCAGCTTCCACTGCAGCAGAGCAGTGGCGCCTGGGGAATCCGCGGAGCAGGGACGGGAAACCTCGCCCCATTTCCTTTCTACTCACCCACCCTGACCACGGCGAGGAGGAGAGATGAGCATGCCTGGAAAAGTGCGGGCGAGGAGGGCCTGGCACTAAAGGAGCCAAGCAGGCAGGGGCCTCCCCCCATCCAGCCAGTGCCACCCCCGAGACTGGGCATGCCTGGACCTCTCTGACACCGGACAGGGCCAGGCTGTGCTGCGTGGCCATGGGGCTCCGGATCTACCTCCTCCTCCTCCTCTTCCACCTCCTGGGGCTAGCAGGTAATGTGCTCTCATTGCAAGCTTGGACTAAGACGGCTTTCCAGGGCTCCTTGGCCAACACAGGAGCCATGGCGCAGCAGTCAGCCATGGTGGGTGGCGCTAGGAACAGGACAGAGCAGGGGTGACTCTCTACAGGGAACTGCAGACAGGGAGGGCTTGGGGCAGGGGTGCCTGTGCCATTGTGGGGGGACCCTGAGACCTGGCTGGAGCCCAGCAGCGAGACAGGGGCAGTCTGCCCACTCACTGGGATGGGACAGGGGCCTGGGTTCACGGGGACCCAGAGATCTGCGTGTGGAATCACGTGCCCGGGAGATGGTGCCACCCTGGGGCGAGCCATGCATCTGGGGATTCATAGATTCATAGACGTTAGGGTCGGAAGGGACCTCAATAGATCATCGAGTCCGACCCCCTGCATAAGCAGGAA